TGCCAGACTCCAAATAGCATAGCGCTTTAGACGGGCAACAGAGTGAGACTCTGTCTCAAAAAAAAAAAAAAAAAAGAAGTGTGTACAGTGGTCGTCTGAGGCCAGGGTCAGAGGAAGAGTAGGGGAAAACAGGGAACCCCAAAAATATGTGAACATCATCAAGTTGAATTTTTTACAACAATTTTTGTTCCATTGTACTGTTAAAATAATAATAAATATGTAGAAGGACAATAATATATTTTGAAAACAGCCTTGACAAAATTCAGTTAGATTCTTGCATTAACTGTCCTAATTTATTATTATTTTCCCTAAGCCTGTCCTAATATCCTCCTGAATACTTGTGATCATTTGTTACATCACTGGCACTCAGACCCTAGTCAAGTGAGGATATCTTAGTCTGTTGGGGCTACTGTAACAAAATGCCATAAACCAGGTAGCTTATAAACACTAAAAATTTATTTCTCACAGATCTGGAGGCTGGGGAATCCAAGATCAAGGCATCAGGTGATTTGTGTCTAGTGAGGATCTACTTTCTGGTTCATAGATGGCACCTTCTAGCTGTGTCTGCACATGGTGAAAGGACCAAGGGAATACTCGTGAGCCTCAGGGCCAAACAAGAGCTCTACCCTCATGATCCAGTCACCTCCCCAAAAGACCTACGTCCTATTACCATTATCTCGGAGGTTAGGATTTCAACATGCAAATTTTGGGAAAGGAAACATTTAGACGATGGGAGAGGGTGTAATTGGAATGGCCAGTTTTTGACAGCAAGAATTCAGAGTAGGGAATGAGTCCGTGAATTTATTGTAAGTGTCCTTCTCCTAAATGAAGGCCCCATTCCCCTAATGTCTTATAACACATGTAATATTCTGTTTTAAAGTACCCCAGGTTGATACCTGCAGGAACTTTGGTCCACAAAGTGGCCTAGTATCATGTGGGATGATCCTGAGCATGGTAGCAAATCTGGCATCCTCTGCTCAGGCTCATCAGATGCTAGCAATTCCCCTGCCTCAAACTTTGTGACAACTTAACACCTCCAAATATATCTGGATGTCCCAGGGAAAGTACTGCCAAGGTGAGAGCTGAAGGAGACTTGTTTGCTGTCTTCCCTGTGGGGTGTCTGCCCTTAGCATTAGCAGCACTGTTCTTGAAGGCTTAAGTTTACTTACTACAGCTTTATTGAGATATAATTTATATAACATAGATTCACCCATTCAAAGTACACAATTCAGTGATTTTTAGTGTGTATTCACAAAGTTGTGCAATCGTTACTATTATACTATGTAATACCAGAACATTTTCATCAGCCCTAGAAGAAACCTGTACCCATTAGCAGTTAATCTCTATCCTCCCATTCTCTCTCCCAGCCTCTGGCAAACACTAACTGACTTTCTGTCTCTATGGAATTGCCTGTTCTGGACATTTCACATAAATGGGATCATAAAATACGTGGTCTTTTATGTCCGACTTCTTTCACCGACCGTAATATTTTCAAGATTCATCCATGTTGGAGTATATGTCAGTACTTTGTTCCTTTTTATGGCTAAAGAATATTCCATTGTGTGGGTATTTCACATTTTGTTTATTCATTCATCAGTTGGTGGACATTAATTTGAGTTGCTTCTACTTTCTGTTTATCATGAATAGTGCTGCTGTGACCTTTCATCTACAAGTTTATGTGTGAATATGTGTTTGCATTTTTCTTGAGTAGATAACTAGGAGTAGAATAGCCAGATGATACATGTTTTACTTTTTTACAGAATTGTCATACTGTTTTCCAAAGCAGCTGCACTGTTTGAGGGTTCCAGTTTCTTCACATCCTTGTCAATACTTGTTAATGTCTGTTTTTTTGTTGTTGTTGTTTTTAGTATTGGCCAGACTAGTGAGTGTAAAGTGGTCTCTCACTGTGGTTTGATTGGTGCTCCCTAATGACTGATGGTGTTGATCATCTTTTCATGTGCTTATTGGCCATTTGTATGTCTTCTTTGAAGAAATATCTATTCAGATCTGCTATGGACTAAATATTTGTGTCTCCCTAACATCAGTATGTTGAAGTGTAATCCCCAAGGTGATGGTATTTAGAGGTGGGGCCTTAAAAAGGTAATTAGGTCCTGGGGGCCGACCTTTATGAATGAGATTAGTACCCTTATAAAAGGAGACAGGAGAGCTCCTGAGAGCTTGCCTCCTGTTTCTCTGCCACGTGAGGGCACAGAGAGAAGGTGGCCGTCTGCGAGCCAGGAAGAAGTCCCTCACCAGAACCTGATCTTGCTGGCACTCTGATTTTGGACTTCCCAGGCTCCAGAACTGTGAGAAATAAATTTCTATTGTTTAAGCCACCCAATCTATGTTGTATTTGTTGTAGCAGCCCAAACTAAGACAAGATCCTTTGCCCATCTTTAAAAATTGGATTATTTGCTTTTTTATTATTGAGTTGTAAGAATTTTATATATTCTAGATACAAGTATATAAATATTTTCTCCAATTGGTGGATTGTCTTTTTACTTTGTTGGTGGTGATTAAGTCTTCAACAAAGGAAGTATCTGGCTGATTTGAGTGCAGTGCTGTTTACAACTAAATGATCCCAACCAGCTACAGGTTTCTTTGTTCCTTCTCCACTTGACTAGCCTTAAATGAAGGAAGGAAGGACCTATTTTAAATGAAATGGACATTCCCTTTGCTCCTCAAGGCTGGTTCCCTTCGCTGTCCCCAAGACAGTCATGATCACAGTTTTGGTAGGTGTCTAGCCAGGCCATTATTATATTTTTACTTCCAGAATATATATATATATATTTTGAAACAGAGTCTCTCTGTGTCACCCTGGCTAGAGTGCAGTGGCGTGATCATAGCTCACTGCAACCTTGAACTCCTGGGCTCCAGTGATCCTCCTGCCTCAGCCTCCCAAGTAGCTGGGACTACAGGCGTGTACCACCATGCCTGGCTGATTCTTTTCTATTTTTAATAGAGATGGCCTCTCACTCTTGCTCAGGCTAGTCTCCTGACCTCGAACAATCCTCCTACCTCGAACTCCCAAAGTGCTAGGATTACAGGGGTGAGCCACCATGGCCTGGCCTTATTTGCAGAGTATTTTATGTGTCTAAAGGATTTCCCTAAGTGATATCCTGTGTATGTCTGATTTATCTTATTTCTTTTAACCATACATATGCATTCTCCTCTTCACATACTGCAGGGAGATGTTCTCAAGTCTTTTTTTCACAGGATGACCAAAGACCACCCAGGCCACCGTCTACCCAGAAGTCTCAGCACAGGAAATGTGTCATGGTAGCATGGCAGCCTCAGGACGTCCTCTCAGTGGGAGAAGTCCTTGCAGTGTCCAGGAGTGGCAGCTGGAAGCATGGTCCTCCTGACCAGCTGGCCCCTCCACATCACTGTTGAATGCTGTGCACATAGTAAGTGTCTGAGGTCTTGGCCTTGGCTTAAGTGGATGATTTTTATGTTTCCTCTTTAGGTGTGATATTTACCTTAATTCCCTATGTGCCCAGTTATGAGTTTTCATCAGGAGCCTGAGCTTTCCTTAAAGCACTTTCTGAATTTATTGAGATAAGTGTAAAAGGGTCTACTGCTTTAATCTGAGAGTATTTTGATCATCAGTGTGGTTGAGATTTCCTCATACTGCTTTCTGAATGTATTGCAACAAGGCGTGAGGGAACTGTCTTCTTTAATCTGGTCATAGAGGAATTGCAGCAATAGATGTTCTGATGCTTCAAAGTCCTTGCATTCCTAGGATAAACCCAACTTTGCCATTTTTGGTAACTTTATACTGTTTCTTAGTTAAATCTCCATTTCACAACTAATATCACTTTCCTTCTTGCATTTTTTTATGATCACCCTTGCCAAAGATATGCCTGTTTCATTAGTCTTATCAAATAACAGACCTGATTTTCTTCATTTTCTCAGCTATTTTCTTGTTTCTAGTTTCCTTAATTTCTGCTCTTATTTTTATTATCACTTTCCTTCCACCTCCTGTTGGTTTAGTCCACACTTCTTTCCCTTCAGTCTTAGGTTGAACAGTGAGATTGCTAATCTTCAGTTTTTGTCTGCTTTTTACTTTAGTCAATTTTAATCAAGTTAACGGTAAGCAGTATAAGTACAATTACATAAAAACTCCCGTATTTTACATGTTTAAACTGTTTTTCATTGTCTTTACTTACAAGGTGTTAAAGGTGGCAGCCGCCCTGAAACTTCTTTCTAGTGATGCAACAAGGTACACACTGTTCTGAAGTGCCACTCACGTTGAATTTATGGTTTATCCAGTGAATTTACGAGCAGTAGATGGTTTTATTGTTGAAGGATCATCAGTCATATAGTGAAGCCAATAAGGCCTTTCTGGGGGCACCATGCTTCACCCACAAACCAAAATGTGTTTTTGCCATTCATTTCAGTGGTGTATACAACCCATAGCTGATGGCCTGAAGAAAATTTGTGGATAGCTTTGGAGGCCGCCACGTCTGCTGACCTGTTGCAATCCATGCATCAGGACCCATAGGAACTTCATCTTTAGTCTTTTTTAAATATAAGCACTAAAGACCAACATTTCTGTCTAGAGTCTGTGTTTGCTGCATCCTCATTTGCCACATGCTTTGAAATGTGCCATTTTCATTGTTGTGCAGTTCTAGGTGTTTTCTAATTTCCATCAGTTTTTCTGTTTGTCAGTTGCTGAAAAACAGGTGTTCATTTTTCCAAATAAATAGGGGTTTGTTTTACTCGTCGTCTTCTTGTGTTTTGTTTTCTTCCTCTTACTGGTTTTTAACTTGCCTGCATTATAGTCTGTGTCGTTCTGTGGTCCGATCTTTGGTGAACTTGTTCTTTGGTGTGGTTTATGGTCAGTGTTAGCACATATTCCACTTGTGCTTAGAAAGCCTGTGGTTCTAATTGGTACATGACTTTTCATCTAGCCATTGGTCAGGCTGGCTAATTACATTCTCTCCTGCTTATCTCTGTTCAGTTTTTCTGAATTTTCATTTCTGAAAGAAGTTCATCAAAACCTCCCATTGTGGTTGGATTAGCTGATTTTTTTTCTTGCAATCCAGGATAATTTTGCTCTGTGTTTTGAGGTATGTTGTTTCTGTTATATTGCTTTGTGATCCTTACTTGAAGTTTATCTTTGGTTTGTAAAGAGCTACAAGACCCTTCTTTGGTTAGCATTTACCTGTTCCAACTTTTTGCTTCGTTTTCTGTGTCCTTTTATTTAGATAAGTCTGTTACAAACACATTTTTTAGTACAGTCTGACACAGTGTCTTTATCTGGCCCATTAAAGCCATTTATATTTATTGCTACTGGTGACATTTTACTTTATATTTTCTATTTAGCCTGCCCTTTTTGTACTGCTTTCCTGACCAGCTTCTTCTGGATTGATCTGGTTTTATTACTCTTCTCTCCCTCTACCAGGTTGGGGCTGGATCACTCTGTTGCGGGGGCCATCTGGTGCATTGTAGCATGTTTAGCAGCATCCCTGGCCCCTAGTGTCGTCTGCCCCCTAGTCGTGACAGCCAGAAACATCTCCAAACATTGCCAGGTGTCTTTTGGGGGTGAAACCATCCCTGGATGAAAACCACTGCTCTGTAGGCTTGGAAGTTTTACATTACGTTTATTCTTCATTCCTGCCTTGGCCAGGTCTAACACGAGTCATGAACAACGTAGGGCTTCGGAACACTTACTTTCATTGCTCCTTTCCCGTCTTACAGGCCACTGCTGTGCAGTATTTCTGATTCCCTAAGACATTGTTACTGCTGCCTTTAATGTGGTCAGCACTGGATTTCGTTTAAATGTGCATTCATCTGTTCCTTTTCCTTCCTTCTGTGGCTTTTCCTGAAGAATGACTTTTTCTAATTATTTTGGCTAGTGTCCTTGGAGATGAATTCTGCTTTTGCTTTTTGAAGCTGTCTTATCTTACCTTCACTCTTGAAAGACAGTGTGTCTGATATTTTTTTCCTTCAGCACTTTGAAAGTAACCTTCCATTACCTTTGGTGTTTTTCTGCTTAACTTCTGCTATTAAGTGATCTGTCATGACAGTTTTCATCCTTCACAAGCAGCCTGTCTTCTCCCTGCTGGCCTTTCGGACCATCTCCATAGGTATGGATTGAGTTCATTTATCTTGCTTTCTGAGTCCGGGATACCTACAGGTGGAATTGCTGGGTGGTGGGTTATGCCCATTTTATGTTTTAATGCTGCTACCAAGTTGCCCTGCCAAGCAGACTGACAACTTTACTTGCCTGCCAACTCTTCCCACATGACCTGCCCAAGCTTTATATTATCACACTTCATTTATATTTACTCACATGAAATGGGCAAATTTTGTATTCTTTAAGTTTGTAATTGCCTAAATGATGGAGAGAATGAGCAAATACTCATTTTCATGACGTTTCTATTTTCTATTCATGAAGTACATCTTTGTATATCCTTTGCCCTTTTTTTTTGTGGTTTTCAATAAGAATTCTATATAGATTTGGAGCCCTATATTTTATAGTATTTTCTCTCCATCTGGAACTTGGGTTTTATCTCTTATTATCTTTTATTATATGGAAATTTTATTTAAATATTAATATCAAACTTGTTCACCCTTGTCTGTCTCTGTTGCACCTAGCTCACTGCAACCTCAAACTCCTAAGCTCAAGCGATCTCCCACCTCAGCCTCCTGAGTAGCTAGGACCACAGGCGTACACCACCAGGCCTGGGTAATTTTTTTCTATTTTTATTAGAGACGGGGTCTTGCTCTTGCTCAGGGTGGTCTCAAACTCCTGAGCTCAAGCTATCCTCCCGCCTCGGCCTCCCAGAGCACTAGGATAACAGGCGTGAAGCACCGCACCCAGCCTGGTTTTTGTTTTCAAGCTTTGTTGATCAAGGTT